TCGGCTACCACCGGCACTCTCCACACCCGCACCCCCAGAGGGACCACCCTCAGGGCGACCGGGACGAGCACCCCCAGAGTCAGCGAACGGAGGCTGCGACTGCGGCGGCGGCGGCGACGGCGACGGCTGCAGTGGCGGCAGGGACGGTGGAGGAGGGGACTGGGGAGGGGACACCTGGGGAGGGGCGGCCGGCGAGGACTGCACCGGAGGGCCACCAGAGTCAGAAGACTCCTCAACCGGGTCCACGGACGGAAGGGGGGTGACATGGGAGACACCAGAGGGGGCGGGACGGGGAGGAGGAGGAGGAGGGGCAGGGACTACCGGGGAAGGGGTGACCAGGAACAGGGGGGGGGTAACTGGGGGACCACGGTGGGGGAAGCGGCGGTAGTAGGAGACGGACTCGTCAAAGGTGACGTCACGAGAGTGAAAGAAGCGGTGAGACGGCGGGTGGTAAAAGTGCCAGTCGGACGCGTCAAGGGGAAAACCGAGGAAGACGCAGGGAAGGGTGCGCGCAGTGAGCTTGTCCGTGCCGGAGGCACGGACGTGAGCAAGGCAGCCCCAGACGTGGAACGCAGACGCGTCACCAGGAGACCCAGTCCACAGACGGGTCGGCAAAACCTGCGGCTGCTGAGGGTGCGGCCACAGGTTAAGCTGGTGAGAAGCGTAGCGCACAGCGAACGGCCACAGAAAATGGGGTGCACCGGCATGGACCATGGAGGTGCGAGCGACCTCCATGACCAAGCCGATGCGTCGCTCAGCGACCCCATTCTGCTGTGGGGAGTCCGGTAGGGTGAACGTCTGGGTGATGCCCTCCGCACGACAAAAGCGACCAAGGACACCTGAGGCAAACTCGCCACCACGGTCTGAGTGAAGACGCAAGACAGGGAGACCGCGGTGGACACGCGCAGAGACAAGCCAGGGGATGAGGGCGCCAGGCACGTCGGCCTTGCGCTCCAGGGGAAAGACTGTGGTGTAACGAGTGAAGTCGTCGACAAGCACAAGGAAGTAGCGCTCGCGACGCGGCCCAGGGACGGGGGCGGGGCCCCAGACGTCCAGGTGCAGGGTCTGCAGCGGCGCGGCGGTAGGGGGGAACGAGGAGGAGTGAGGGGCACGGCGAAGCCGACCCTCGACACAAGGCGTGCAAGGTGGAGCTGGGGAGGAGGGAAACGCGGGGAGTGAACCTGGGAGACCAAGGACAAGACCGTGCTGGGACATGTGACGCAGACGCGGGAGCGCAGGGTGACCTAGGCGGTGGTGCCACAGGAGGGTCGGGTGAGTGAGGGAGCGACAGGAGCAGGCAGCAGCAACCTGGGTAGACACAGCCACCTGAGGGGGCGCTCCAGCCGGGGGGGGCACGGTGTCAAGTGTGAACAGGCCGGACACCGGGTCCCGGGGGAACGTGGACAGGGGGGCACCAGTGGCGGCCTCGGTACAGACAGCATACCGCTCGTGACCAGGGAACGTAGTGGTGACGCCAAGGTCCTGGAGGCAGCCGACACCAACTAGGTTCCTGGAGAACGAGGGGATATGCAGACCTGTAAGAGAGCCCGAAGGAACCGCCGGACAGGGAAGGGTGGTGGAACTGCGGGCGACTACCGGGCCGCCGGAGGGGTCAGCAAGAGAAACGGCAGCAGGAACAGGAAGTGGCGTCAGGGTGGTGGAGTCGCGGAAGAAACACCGAGAGGCGCCAGAGTCCAAGGTGAAGGAAAGCGAAGCCGAGGGGTCTGGCGACGGAACGACGGCAGAAGCACCAAGACTACACAAAGCAGGGGATCCTACGCCTGACGCAGCAGGGGAGGCTAAGCTAGGCACACCTACACTAGGCAACAGTGAGTAATAAGTCGGAAGCACACTAGAGTCATCAGCATACATCACATGCAGAGCAGAAACAATGGCATCCATGTCCATATCAAAGATCTGAATCTGACGACTAAGCAAACTGTGCCAGTCCGGGAGGTCTGGCGACGGGCTGAAACGCTGACGAAAGAGGTCGTCCAGGCGACGAAAGCAGCGGGGAGTGGAGTGACCGATCTTACCGCAAACGAAACCGCGGCGAGGACCGGTCTGGATCTGGTACTGACAACGCCCGCCGGCAGAGCCACCACGCGGCACACCACCACGCGCCCGTCCACCGCCAGCGCCGGGCCACCCTGGCGGGAGAACACTCGTCTGCCGCGTCTGCGACGGCTGCTGCGGCTGCTGCGAAGGCTGCGACTGTGGCGGCTGCTGCAGCTGCTGCAACTGCAGGGGCGGCGACTCAGCTGGACTGGGCAGGGTCCCCTCGTCCGCTCCAGCACCAGGCGACCCGACCCCACCACTACCCCCGCCCGCACCCCCGCCGCCCCCTCCGCCGCGCCCAGCCTTGGGGCGGCGGCCCTTCCCAGAACGGGCCTGCGCTGCAGCAGCAGTCTCAGCCACTGCGGCAGAGCCGTCGGAGAAGGTACACTGAGCGGGGGCACAACCCTGAAAGATAGGGACCGGCACGACACCGCTCGCCTGGGCGATGGAGCGGTGACGGGTCTCTATCACAGTCAGGGTGTCGACAAAGTCAGTGAGGGTGAGGTCCGCGGGGTGAACACTAAGGAAGCGGTCGCGGGCGACAGCAAGGCGGTCAGGGAGGCGGGTGGCAAGCAGGTAGAGGGTAGAGGTAATGGGCGGCTGGTGGGCTCTAAGCTGTGCGTCAGTGCATGCGGCGCGCCAGGTCTCCTCTATCGAGCGCAGGTGGGCAGCGAGGTCAGAGACAGTGGGGAACGAAGCAAGGTCAGGAAAGAGCAGCGGGAGGATCAGGCGACCCACCGAGGCAGCCGGAGGGGTGGAATAGCGCTTGATGACAGCATCTAAGTATGCCTGAGCAGTAGTGAGGGACCTAAAGCGAGGACGCTCGGACGGGGGGAGGGCGTTGCTAATGGCAAGCTGGGCGACAGCATCGCGAGAAAGCCAGACAGAGCGCGCACGGGCAGTGGCAGCAGTAGACTCACGCTCAGTGGGTGTGGGGTCAGCGGGCAGAATAGCAGGAGGGTCTGGGCAGGGGAGCGTACCGTCAAGGTGTGCGGAAAGCGGTTCACCATCCTGCCGCTGGCCAGTGAGTTGGCGGCGGAGGTCGGCAAGCCACGCCTCGAACTCTAGGGGCTGACCTTCAGCGTCGAAGCGAAGCTCCGCCGCCATCAGGAACAGTCCAGTGCTGTGCAGGGCGGTGCAGCTAGGTGGGGTGCGGTGCAGTGCGATACAGTGCGGTGCAGTGCGGTACTGTGCGGTGCAGTGCGGTGCAGTGCGGTGCAGTGCGGTACAGTGCGGTGCAGGGCGGCACGGAGCAGGGCGGGGTGGGGGGGGGGGGGGGGGGGGGGGGGGACCGTACCAGTGAGGAGGACGGGGCCGAGGCTGGCCCGACGGGGCCGGGCGGGCGCGACGGGGCCGGGCTGATGCGACAGGGCCGGGACGGGGCGACGGGGCCGAGCGGGCGCGACGGGGCCGGGCTGGGGCGACGGGGCCGGGCGAGTGCGGCAGGGCCGGGCCGGTGCAACGGGGCCGGGCGAGCGGGACGGCGGCCGGGCTGGTGCGACGGGGCCGGGCGGCTGTGACGGGGCCGGGCAGGGTGCGACGGGGCCGGGCGGCTGCGACGGGGCCGGGCGGCTGCGACGGGGCCGGGCGAGCGCGACGGGCCGGGCAGGGTGCGACGGCGCCGGGCGGGCGCGACGGGGCCGGGCGGCGGCGACGGCGCCGGGCGGGCGCGACGGGGCCGGGCGGCGGCGACGGCGCCGGGCGGGCGCGACGGGGCCGGGCGGGCGCGACGGCGCCGGGCGGGCACGACGGGGCCGGGCGGCGGCGACGGGTACGACGCGGCCGAGGAGGGGCGCTACGGGGCCCAGGAGGGGCACGACGGGGGGCCCAGGAGAGGCGCTATGAAGCCCAGGAGGGGCGCGACGAGGCCCAGGAGGGGCGCCACGGGGCCTGGGAGGGGCGCGACGGGGCCCAGGAGGGGCGCTACAGGGCCCAAGGAGGGCGCGACGGGGCCCAGGAGGGGCGCTACGGGGCCCAGGAGGGGCGCGACGGGGCCCAGGAGGGGCGCTACGGAGCCCAGGAGGGGCGCGAAAGAGCCCAGGAGGGGCGCTACGAGGCCTGGGAGGAGCGCGACGGGGCCCAGGAGGGGCGCTAGGGGGCCTGGGAGGAGCGCGACGGGGCCTGGGAGGGGCGCGACGGGGCCTGGGAGGGCGTTACAGGGCCCAGGAGGGGCGCTACGAAGCCCAGGAGGGGCGCGACGAGGCCCAGGAGGGGCGCTACGGGGCCCAGGAGGGGCGCGACGGGGCGCTACGGGGCCTGGGAGGAGCGCGACGGGGCCCAGGAGGGGCGCTAGAGGGACTGGGAGGGGCGCGACGGGGCCTGGGAGGGGCGCGACGGGGCCTGGGAGGGCGGTACAGGGCCCAGGAGGGGCGCTACGAAGCCCAGGAGGGGCGCGACGAGGCCCAGGAGGGGCGCTACGGGGCCCAGGAGGGGCGCGACGGGGCGCTACGGGACCTGGGAGGAGCGCGACGGGGCCCAGGAGGGGCGCTAGTGGGCCTGGGAGGAGCGCGACGGGGCCTGGGAGGGGCGCGACGGGGCCTGGCAGGGGCGCTACGAAGCCCAGGAGGGGCGCTACGGGGCCTGGGAGGAGCGCGATGGGGCCCAGGAGGGGCGCTAGGGGGCCTGGGAGGAGCGCGACGGGGCCTGGGAGGAGCGCGACGGGGCCCAGGAGGGGCGCTAGGGGGCATGAGCGGAAGCGGTAGGTGGGGGGGGGGGATCCTACCTACGCGTGATACCATAACAGAATAATTGAATAATGGTAAAGTGAGAGTACACACAAATATATCTAAGTTTTGTATCCTCTAAGAGGTGACTCTATACAGTCTATACAAACATGACAAATACACATGTTTGACATCTGTGCGACGCTGTGGTGGCACCATCGTTTCTGATCTTAGCGTTGAAGACCGGGCAACGGGATCAAGAATGAATTTGTAGGAATTCGCCCTTAAATGACAGAAGTGCTCTTCAAAGGGGGAGGGGCTAATAATCAAATAAGGCGCATAAGCCCCATCAGCTGAATAAAGGACAGAGTCATATCCTATCCCCCGGGGGGGCGTTTATCTGGGTGGATACGGTAAGGTGGAAGAGAAGCCTGAAACTAGTCCCACACTGTTTCAAGAGTACCTATGGTAAAGCCTGGTGGTGCTTCCACTCCACATCTGCAACTGTCTGCTCTTCCCCTGCAACTGTCTGCACTTCCCCTCCTCTCCCTCTCCACCCTCCCCCCCTCAATTACCACCCGTAGTCCAGCATCCCTTCCCTTCCCTGGTCACCCCAGCCTGGTACTGCTTCCCTGCTGCCTTGCCACAGATCCTTCCACAGCAAATTTCAGTAAACCAGGCCAGGATATGGGTCAGGCGCCCAAAACACGGGCCATGCGGCCAAAACACGGGTCACTGACGTCCAACAGTCGATTGGATTGGACTTATCTACAGAAGTTCCGGTGGGGGGATGCTGGCACCACGTCAGGACCGAGAAGTAACCAGGTAACCAAATCACCGGCCCCACTGGACATGCAGCACCTGTTGCTTCCTCTTTGTCCTCAACCTATCGTATCCCTCCACGCACACTCACGTGCCATCACATGCCGCCACAGGCCGCCACATGCCACCTCATGCCGCCACATGCCGCCTCATGCCGCCACATACCGCCTCATGCCGCCTCATGCCGCCGCATGCTGCCTCATGCCGCTGTATGCCGCCTTATGCCGCCTCATGCCGCCTCATGCCGTTTCATGCCGTGTCATGCCTGGCTGCACGTGCCCCTAGTCCTCATCGAGGTCCCGGTGCCAGAACGAGGGCATGCCCACATCCTCCTCAAAGCCGCGCAGCGCCAGCAGCAGCAGCACCACGCACCACCAACCTCCCCCCATGCTACCGCATGCACTCGAATGTGCGCACATGCGTCCATGCACACACACATGCATCCATACACACACGGAGCAGCTCTAGTCGTCATCGAGGCCCTGGTGCCGGAACGAAGGTATGTCCACATCCTCATAGCTGCGCAGCGACACACCCCCCGCCACTCCCTCGCACGCCCCATAGCCATCACTTACACCACCACCACCACCACCAGCAGAAGCAGCAGCACCAGCCCCTCCCCCCACGTTCCCGCTCCCACTCGCAGCTCCATTCTCCGAACTCATCCTCCGGCCTCCTCCCACCACCGCTCCCCCTCCACCTCCCTTTCCTCCCACCGCTCCCGCTCCCGCCCCCGCTCCCCCCCCCCGTGTGGCGCCCCATCAGCCCTGCAGTGCGCGTCGAGGAAGAGCACGACGACGGTGATGTCGTCGTGCACCATGCGGCGCTGCTTGGGGTCCAGCACTTTCAGCTCTGGGAGCGATAGGCCCAGCTTGCGCGCTGCCCGGGTGATGGCCAGGCGCACTAGCTGCCTCGCTACACCCTGTCGGGGGAAGGAAGGAGGGGGGCGGGGGGGCAGTGGAGGGGGGGGTGGCAGAGGGGGGAGAAGGAAGAAAACGGGAGAAAGGGAGGCCGTAGGTGGGGACAGGGGGAGGGAGGGAGGGGAAGGAAGGGACGGGGAGGGTGAGAGGGCAGGAAGAGCACGACATTTGCAATGTCGTCTTGCACAGCAGCACTTTGAGCCGCGTCAGCGGCGGGCCTAGCTTGCGTGCTGCCCGGGTGATGGCTAGGCGCACTAGCTGCCTCACCAGGCCCTGCTGGGGGATGGGAGGAGGGGAGGCAAGGGGGGGGGGGAGAGGGGAGAGGGGAGAGGGGAGAGGGGAAGGGGGAGGGGGAGGGGGGGAGGGGAAGAGGGGAAGAATAGAAGGGAGTGGGAGGAGGGCGAAGGCGGGAAAGAGGGGAGAAAGAGGAGTGGAGGTTGAGAGCACAACGACATCATGCAGCGCCGCTTGGGGTCCAGCACCTTGAGCCCTGTGAGGGAAAGGCCTAGCTTGGGGGCTGCCCGGGTGATGGCCAGGAGCACTAGCTGCTCGGGTGATGGCCAGGAGCACTGGCTGCCCGGGTGATCGCCAGGAGCACTAGCCACACCCTGTCGGGAGTGTTGCGTGACATTGTAATGAGGTGGCTTTTGAGTCGACTCAAAAGTCGCCAGGAGCACACGCTGCGGCCACACCCTGTCGGGGGATGGGACAGGATGGGGCGCGAGAGGGGGAGGCGGAGGGAGGGTAGGGAGGGGATGGAGGAGAAAGGAAAGGGGAGGGAAGGGAAAGTGGGAGGAGAGACGGAAGGCTTGAGCTTGATAAGCAGCAGAGAGGAGCGCAGGTAAGGGAGGGAATGGGACATGACGGAGAGGACATGCAGGCACCGGAAGAGGCACCAGAAGAGACGCTAAAAACGCTCAACTCCTTGATTGCGGCCTGGAGAGAACAAGCTTAACCACTTGGCTGTCCCTCACGTAGCCCTATGACCCATCAGTCCCTCCCGTAGCCCTATGACCCGTCAGTCCCTCACGTAGCCCTATGACCCGTCAGTCCCTCACATAGCCCTATGACCCGTCAGTCCCTCACGTAGCCCTATGACCCGTCAGTCCCTCACGTAGCCCTATGACCCGTCAGTCCCTCACGTAGCCCTATGACCCGTCAGTCCCTCACGTAGCCCTATGATCCGTCAGTCGCCAGCACCAGGAAGCCGTGCACCGGGGCACCAGGGGCACCAGAAGTGGGCAGAAGCGGACACTCAGGAGGACGCAGTGGGTGGGACTAGCCCAACCTGCAAGTTGCAACCACTCGACTCACCGATCGTGGCTTGGAGTGAACTAGCTTGACTGCTTCACTATCGCTCACGTGCTCCCATAATCCGTCAGTCGCCAGCACCAGAAAGCGGTGTGCCGGCCCCAGCTGCAGCACCTCCACCGCCGGCGTGGCGAGTAGAGCTGGGCGGCGCAAGGGGCGGTCAAGCCGGAAGCGCGCGTACAGAGGGTCGCGCTGAAACTCATTGTGCTTCAGGTAGAAGTCGCCAAGAGATCGCGTGACCTGGAGGGAGGCATAGGAGATGAGGATGGGCGTGAAGGGAAAGAGATAGCATTGAAGCAAGGGGGGGAAGAAACGGCTCACGCTGACTGACACTCTCGTGGTGGGTTGTGCTGTGCTTCGGGTGAAAGCTGCACAGAGAGCGAAGGACCCCGTCCAGCTGGAGGAAGTGTTCTGTCTTCGAAATTTCTCAAAATCCGAGTGAGAGTGAGGGATGGACACGTGCGCCGGCACCCGCTGCAGCACCTCCACTGCCAGCTCCACGCGTGGAGCCGGGTGGTGCAAGGGGCGGTCGAGACGGAAGCGCGCGTACAGAGGGTCGCGCTGAAACTCCTAGTGCTTCGAGTAGAAATCGCCCAGGGAGCGGGTGACCTGGAAAAGGGTAGCAGGAGCTAAAAGTGGCGAGGGGCGTGCGGGGGAGAGATGGAAGCAAAGGGTGAAAGGGCTGGGGTCACCTGGTGCGGGTCATGTGGAGGGCAGCCAGTGGAGCATGGGAATGTGCGTTGGGGGGGGAGGGGTGGGGCGTCTGAGGGTAAGTGGATGGAATCCCACTTACCCTCAGACCCCCCACTGTGCCCCAGGTCAGGTATATGCCACTGAGAGACTGAGAGAGGGAAGGAGATGGATGTAGATCCGTGGAGATGGGTGGAGATGGGTGGAGAGAGGGTCGCGCTGGGAACCCATTGTGCTTGAAGTAAAAGTTTCTCAAGAAGCGAGTGACCTGGAGGAAGGGGAGGAGGAGTGACGGAATATAGGGACAAAGTGCGTACTTTTTAGGCGCCTCAATCATTTTCCTGCTTGCTAAACCGCTCCTGTTGCTGCGCTCACTGCAAGATGTCCAAAGTGAGAATGGGAATGCAGCGACAAAGTGCGCGGAAGCGCGCCTACAGGGAGCGGTTCCTGGTGGGACTTGTCAGAGAGGTGCCACCAACGAGGTGACCTTTGAGTTGACTCAAAAGTCGTTCTGGGAGTTGTTAGAGAGGTTCCACCAACGAAACAAAGGCGCCAAGGGTAGGGAGCGGAATACCTGGTGGTAGGACAGGGGATGAGTGGATAGTGCAGAAGAGGGTAGGGGGGAGGGATAATACAGAAAGTGTTGTGTGCGTGACATTGTAACGAGGTGACTTTTGAGTTGACTCAAGAGCGAGAGACCTGGTGGTAGGACAGGAGATGAGGGAATAGTGCAGCGCAGGGTGGGTGGGAGGGATACCGAGGAAAGAGTGGCGCACGCAAGTGTAGAAAGGGGGTCACCTCGGAACCCACCTTCTTCCCCTCTTCCCTTCTCTCCCTATGCTCCGCCCTCCTCCCCCTGTCCCTCCTCCCCTGCCCCCCCCGCCTCCCCTGCCCCCCCTCCCCACCTCTCTCTCCCCTTCCCACATGCCTGGATGATACCCTTCATTAGGGTTGAGCAAACTACCCGCCCGGGTCGGATACCCGGTACCCGGACCCGCTTTTAGGGCGGGTCGGGTATCGGAAATCCTGAGAATTACCCGCCGGGTCGGGTCCGGGTTACCCGGGCCGGGTATCAATACCCGCTACCCGGAATGCTACCCGACGTGTCGGGTAACGGGTACCCGACCCGGTCGGGTAAAAAATTACCCGAGGTCGGGTATTCCACCTAGACATGGGCGTAAGTCGCGCTGTGTTTTAGGTTTTGCGGCAAAACAGTTTTGGAGGTGAGGGGGGACGAGTGGAGCCCTACCTAGCCTAGCCCTACCTAGCCTAGCCCAACTTTAGGATGTCCACTAGTAGGTGGCGGGTAAAATTACCCGCTTTTCAGGGGGTCCGGGTCGGGTATACCCGGACCCGCCAGGCGGGTATTATATTACCCGTCCCCTTAAGGCCGGGTCCGGGTAAGGGTCCTGGGCATATTACCCGACCCGGACCCGAAATTACCCGACCCGAAATTACCCGACCCGAGGTCGGGTATTGCAAAACCGGGTCGGGTCGGGTAATTACCCGGTTTTGCTCAAGCCTACCCTTCATGCGGCACACCCCACTCCCACCAACCCCTATCCTCCTGTAACCTCACTTCCCATGCCCATGCCCATGCCCACACCCCCACCCCAGCCCCCCAACAACACACCTGGATGATCCCCTTGACGCGCCACACCCCGCTGCGCTGCACCACAATGCCCTTATCCTCTGGGTGCAGCCGCTGCATGGCCGCCCTCTCCTCCGCGCTGTTCGCATTGTGCTCCGTCGACACCACCAGTGGCCGCACTGCCCTCAACACGCCCCTCCGCACCCCCACCACCGCCCGTGAATCCCCTAGCGAAGCCACTACTAGCACCGAGCCCTGTGGGGGAAGGAAGGCCACGAGGGCGCACGTGCCCACAGCCGCGTATTGCGGGACCTGCCGCCATTTGCTTCGAACAATCTCGAGGAAATTTCGCTCGATCTGGCTGAAGCTCTGATGGACGGCTGAGATGAGCTGGTCTTGCGAGAGGTGCGCGAGGCGGGAGGGCGCGTGAGGAGGCACTTGGAGAAACTTCGGCTGCTGCTGCTGCTGCTTGTCAGCCCCTTGCTGCTGCTGTTGCTTTTCACCCGCCTGCTGCTGTTGCTTTTCACCCGCCTGCTGCTGCTGCTGCTTCTCTGTTCCCCCCTGCTGCTGTTTCGGGTGTTGGCTTGGCTGCTGCTGCTGATTCAATTGGGCATTCTCCTTCGAAATGCCTTCAGACCCAACCCCTCCTCCCCCTCCCCCTCCTCCTCCCCCTGCTGCTGCTGCTGCTGCAGCTGCTTCCCCTTTCCCATCCACACTTCCACCACCATCCCTACCTCCTCCTCCTCCCCCACCCCCACCCCCACCCCCTCCACCACCGTCACCAGCAGCTACAGAAGGAGTGGGAGAGGAATGGGCGTGAGCAGCAGCGGCGGCAGCAGCAGCAGAGGAAAGGGCTCTGGCGGTGCGGACGGCGCAGTTGACGCAGTTGGCGTCGCACCCCCGGCCACAACACTCGTCCAACAATGCGCCTGAAGAGAGCGACACGGGGAGGCAACAGCGGGGGCAGGCCCAAGGGAGTTGTGTGTAAAGCAGGGAGGGGGGAGGAAGGAAGCGGGAGGAAAGAAGGGGGAGGAAGGAGGGAGAAGAGAAGAAAGGAGAGGAGGGGTGGAGAGGGGAGCCAAGGAAAGGAGAGGAGGGGTGGAGAGGGGAGCCAAGGAAAGGAGAGGAGGGGTGGAGAGGGGAGCCAAGGAAAGGAGAGGAGAGGTGGAGAGGGGAGCCAAGGAAAGGTGAGGACTGAAAAGAGGACAAGGCATTTATATATATCTAAGCCCAGAGCGTTTCCCCATCTTCCCCCAAACCCCCCTGCCCTTTTCCAGAAATACACGCACACACACACACCTTGCAGGTCTGGCAGCAGGTGGTCGGCGCTGAACCTCGCAGCCTGCGCGCCCCCGTGGCCGTCAAATATACCCACGAACGTGCCCAGCGCGTTCGCGTCTACCCGCGCCACGTCCTCACACGCCACGTTGCCCTCCACCGCTGCCATCGACAGCTCGCCTGTAAGTAGGGGGGGGGAGTGGGAAACGGGAGGAACAGGGGGGTTTGCGGAGTAAAGAGGACAGGGAGGTCAGAATGTGGCAATGACGCAGTTGCGGATTGACCCATGTAAAATATCTTCCTTGATTTGTAACTTTCTATAACTGCTTGTTTTTACTTAAACGCTTTTGACAGGAGTCACAACACACGTTGACTTGCCCAAGGGGTGTGGCTCACAACAACACACATTCAAATGCCAGAAGGTTGCGACTCACAATGCACGCGTGGACACGCCTGAGGGGTACGAGTACGATGGGGCAGCTCCATATCAGCCCGTGTGTTTGAGTCGACTCACAACACACATGGATGGACATGCCTGAGGGTTGCGCCTCCCACCACACGTCCACTTGCCTCAGGCGTGCGACTCACAACACACACGCGGACTTGCCTGACGGGTGCGAGGCGATGGGGCAGTTCCATATCAGCCCGTCGTCGTCGTACCCCGACACCAGCCGCTGCTGCAGCGCACTGTCCCGGTCCTGCCCAGCCCCTCTCGACGGCTTCCCCTTGAGCCCACCTGCCAGGGGGGAAGGGGCGGACGAGGAGAGACAGTACGCCAGACTTGAGGAGCCTCAGATCAGAACATGGTAATCCTTTGTACCCCCACACCACACCACCCGCTGCTGCTGCCACCTGCTCGTGTCCCCCCCTGCCCCTTCCCCTGCCCCTGCCCCTGCCCCTGCCCCTGCCCCTGCCCCTGCCCCTGCCATGCCACGCCAGCCATTACGAGCCACATAGAGTGCCGGGGGCGGCGAGAGTGCGGGACGACAAAGATTGCACAGAAGACGCGAGATCAACAAGGGCCCCATCAGGACCGTTTCAACTCTACGCAGCGGAGGCCCGCTCCTCCGGCACGCACGCGCACACCCTATATGCGTCAAATGCTCCCCTTCCTTCCCCACCCCGCGCTTCTCCCCCCCGTCCCCTGCTTGGCGCGATTCTGCTGCGTGCGACCCCCTGCTCCGTGCCACTCTATCGCGTGCGACCCCTGCTCCGTGCCACTCTATCGCGTGCGACCCCCTCGCGTGCATTCGAGCCCCTGCTTATCTCGCACGTATCTCTGACGCGTGCGACTACCTTCCGCTAACACGTCCTCCCCATCACCCACCCAATAAAGAAAAAGGCGCAATGCGGCCATTGCCGGCCGCCGTCGGCGCGGGGCACGTCCCCACGTTCCCCTGCCTGTGCAGCGCGCGGAGCTTTGCCTCCATACCCCTTAAAAGTCCCCCTCAAGTCCCCGCGCGGCTTAATCCCCCTCGCCACTTAATCTTCCCCCTCCGCCGCCGATTAATGTCCCGCGCCCGCGCCGCCCTGATAATAATAAAAAGAGGCCCCGCCCCCGCTCCGGAAGTGGCTCTCTCGCTCGAATATCGGGGATGCGGGCGGGCAGCGAAAATTGGCGGGAGAATCTTAGAAAATCCCGTTCCGCGAGGTGCGTTATCTCCGCACCCGGGGTCGGAGAAACGCGGAGACCGACGAAAACGACGACGGGAACGGGGGAAACGGCGGGAACGGCGGAAGGTCAAGGCCTATAGGGCCCGTAGCGCCCGTAGCGCCTGTTTGAGATTCAGTCCGTTGCGACAGATGCTGCTGGTGGTGGTGATCGAGATTGAGAATGTCCTGACAGACACAATTCGCGGGACGGAGGCACAAGGCGGGGCAAGGCAAAAGAGCGGCGATCGGCGAGTCTGTATCCTTCCCTTGAGTCAGTCAACCCTAAAGGCGGGTTTGAGTGCTTTCATGCGAGCTCAGGCGGATTGATGTACGGAATTTGCCGCAAGACGGAGCGGGACTGAGAGGAGGGACGGAAGGACATTTTAGGAGAGAAAAAACATACCGAGTAGGCGTACCGACCCACTGACTATGATGGATGACCAATGTCCGATGACCCATGGATGACCAATGTCCGATGACCCATGGATGACCAATGGCCAACAGCAAATGGTGGATGCGGCGTACCGAGAGAGCGATAGAGCCCATGGGGGGAGAAGCAGCCGAGGAGCTGATCGCACGGCGACGGCACCATGCAGCCCCACCGCCACCGCCGCTACCCACAGGATTCGTCGGGCCGACCTTGGACCTTGGACCTTGGAACTTGGAAGTTGGGCTCCAGGCGTGCTTAGTCACATTCAGTAACACCCACCCCCGTGTGTTATGCGAGCTCTGAAATCGTTCTGACGCAGATCGATACGAGGGGAGGAAGAAGAGAAACTGAAACACAATGAACAGGGAAGGAACAACAGACGGAAGGAAACTTGTTATATCAAGCAAGCAAAACGTAAGGGAGGAAGGAAGCAAGCGTGCAGCCCTAGAAACGACCTAAACGCTAGGTCGCAACGGCGTGCTGCCCTAAAAACGACCAAACCAATAGGTCGCAAGGGCTGCAGCCCTATTAACCAATATGTCATGATAAGCTAAGATGTGCACCTGCCTGAGAAGAAGTCACTCGTTTGATGCACAGAAACGACCGCAGCGAGTAAGATCCATGGAGGTACGGGAGCTGAGCTGAAATAGTAGCTAGGAGGGGAAGGGGTAGGGGGGTGTGCAGCAAGAAACAGGTACGACTGAGGTAGGAACAGAGCTTACGCTAGAAGGGTAGCTACCCTAAATGTCGAGAAATTAAGAGTTGTCTAGACCCTGAACCCGGATTTTAACAGGCTGGGTTCTTTCGAATCTCTGAATTGGCCGAATCAATGAGCCTTGAAAATTGGACGCATTCCGTGACAGCTTTTCATAAAATCTGACGGGCTAGTCTCGCAGCATGGCGTTCAGCAAGGCGAAAATCCCTACGCCACTGCGTGGAGAAAAATCTCCGTCACGAACATCAAGGGTGATTTCAGGTTTGGGGCTTAGCTTTCTTTTCAATTGCTCGTCATCTGTGCCCCAAACATTAGACGAAGGCAGAAAGGCCCTTCCGCTTAGGCAGAGTTACCGCTCGGAAAACTTGGAAGGATTCTGAGTGAAAACCCCTTGGATTCCGGAAACTTCTGGGTATGATTGGACCATAACCCAGCACCTTCCAAAACTCCCTGGGCCTTGGTTTGGAAGCGGGACGGCCAGGGATAGCTCACAGCCACACCCTGGCGGGGGTGCATTTGGTCAGCCTAGAAAAGGGATTGCCGCCCCGTTACTGAACTATCATTTCAATATAACAAAAAAGGAGCGTGAACAGTGCAAAACACATTTAGTTCTATAACATGTGGTAAGGACCCCTTTAAAGCCCGACCAGCAAGTTGCAACTCTCGATTTCTCAAGATGCTGCATCTTGAGAACCTGTAACCGAAACCACTCGCAGCAGTGGTTGACGAGACTCAAACACCTCAACTCTGTGCCTCGATAAACTTGGCAAGTTTGCGTCGCTTCCAAGTATCGAGATGAAGAAGCACGAAGTGTTCTCAAAGGGTAATCACTCGTACAAATTTTGACTTTCGGGCGGTTTAGCGCAAGTGTACAAATGTGTGTTTGATTGCACAAGGGCAAAACCGAAGCCCAATAGTTGAGTCCAGGCCCTGAGATATCAACCTTAAAGCCCTAGTTAGCTTAATTTCAAGGGCTGTTTTTTTCAGTTGTCTATGATTTTTCAGTGTTTGCAAACTGCCCATTGAGACTTACTTCTCAACAACAGGTCCCTCAAAAGAGTTTGTATCATTTGCACTAGCCAATGCCAAGATATGACATGTGTCAACTTATACATATTATCTATGTAGAAGTTAGAGGCTAGACTGAGGTATGCTTCTAGTGAGTACAACCAACTAGTATTTGTTCTAGGTTTCCACTTCTAGTCATTATTCGTTCTCACTTTAACATGGTATCACGCGTAGGTTAGCATCCCCCACCTACCGCTTCCGCCCGTACCCTAGCTAGGCCACGTCGCGCCTCCTAGCCATGTCGCGCCCCTCCTGGGCCCCGTCGCGCCTCCTAGCCCCGTCGCGCCCCTCCTGGGCCCTGTCGCGCCACCCTAGCCCTGTCGCGCCACCCTAGCCCCGTCGCGCCCCTCCTGGGCCCCGTCGCGCCACCCTAGCCCCGTCGCGCAACCCTAGCCCCGTCGCGCCCTTCCTGGCCTCGTCGCGCCCGCTCGGCCTCGTCGCGCCCTGCCTGGCTCCGTCGCGCCCGCCTGGCCCCGTCGCGCCCTGCCTGGTCCCGTCGCGCCCTGCCTGGCCCCGCCGCGCCCGCTCGGCCCCGTCGCGCCCTGCCTGGCTCCGTCGCGCCCGCCTGGCCCCGTCGCGCCCTGCCGGACCCCGTCGCGCCCTGCCTGGTCCCGTCGCGCCCTGCCTGGCCCCGTCGCGCCACCCTAGCCCCGTCGCGCCCTGCCTGGCCTCGTCGCGCCCGCAATGCCTCGTCGCGCCCTGCCTGGCTCCGTCGCGCCCGCCTGGCCCCGTCGCGCCCTGCCTGGTCCCGTCGCGCCCCTGCCCTCGCGCCCTCCCGTCGCTGCCGTCGCGCCGCCGGCCCCGTCGCGCCCTGCCTGGCCCGTCGCGCCCCCTGCCCGTCGCGCCCTGCCTGCCCCGTCGCGCCCTGCCTGGCCCCGTCGCGCCCTGCCTGGCCCCGTCGCGCCTGCCTGGCCCCGCCGCACCTGCCTGGCCCTGCCGCGCCTCCCTGGCCCCGCCGCGCCTGCCTGGCCCTGCCGCGCCTCCCTGGCCCCGCCGCGCCTGCCTGGTCCCGCCGCGCCTGCCTGGCCCTGCCGCGCCTGCCTGGTCCCGCCGCGCTTGCCTGGAACTGCCGTGCCTGCCTGGCCCCGCCGCGCCTGCCTGGCCCCGCCGCGCCTGCCTGGCCCCGCCGCACCTGCCTGGCCCCGCCAGCACCTGCCTGGCCCCACCGCACATGCCTGGCCCCTTCGCCCCAGCTCGTCCTGCCGTGCCGCCTCGGGCTCCGTCTCCTCTACTCGCCCGTGCTGAGGCGCTTCGCGGCCGCCGTGCTGGAGGGGGCTGTCACTGTGTTCCTGCGTCGCTGTGTCCCTGTGGAGCTGTGCCGCTGACCCTGCACGATGGCGGACTTCGTGCTCCGACTGGACGCCGAGGGCCATGCGGTTGACTTCGCCGCCTGGCTCTCCGATCTCCGCCGCCACCTTACAGGTCAGCGCCAGGATGGCCACTCTTTGGTTGTCCATGTCGACGGCTTGCTCCCCCGCCCCCCCGCACCTGCTCCCCTCCCTGCTGATCCCTCATCTGATGACCGTGAGACCTTCTCTACTGCTGCGCTTGCCCGTGCGGTCTGGGACTCCCGCGATGCAGTCGCTCAGGTTGCCATTAGCCACGCCCTCCCTGTCTCTGAGCGCTCGCGTTTTGCTACTATTGAGACGGCCAAAGCTTACTTAGACGCTGTTATTGCCCGCTATTCCACACCCGCGTCTGCTTCTGCTGGTCGCCTGCTCTTCCCTATGCTTTTCCCAGACCTTGCAGCTTTCCCTACCGTCGCAGACTTTGCCACTCACCTGCGTGCCCTAGAGACCCGCTAGCGCACTGCCAGCACTGCCGCCCAGCCCACTGCGCTCCCCCCCCCTTTCTGCATGACGCTCTATTTTATCGCCATGCGCCTGCCAGACCGCCTCGCTAGTGCTCGCGATCACTTTCTTAGCCAGCACCCGGGTGACCTCACTCTCACTGCCTTTGTCGACACCCTTACCGAGATCGAGACTCGCCAGCGCACTATCGCTCAGTCGAGCGGTGCGCCGGCAGTTTCTATCTTTCACGGTTGTGCCCCCTCCCAGTGTGCGTTCACTGACGTTTCGGCTGCGGTCGCCTCGGCGGCCCCTCTCACCGAGACGGCTGGTGCGGTCCACCCGCAGCAGCGCTCGCGCCGCGGTGGCCGTGGTCGCCAGGGGGGTAGGGGTGGTGGTGGCAGTAGTGGTGGTGACGGTAGTCCGCCTGCGGGGACTACCACTGGTGGGCAGGAGCAGCAGCCCCAGCCGCCCCAGCAGCAGTTACCGTCCCAGCAGCAGTCGGCGCAGCAGTGGGCCCGTCTCCCGCCTGGTTGGCCCGGCACCTCCGGAGGTAGTGGCCGTGGTGGCGGCCCGCGCAGCTTGGCGTCTACCGGCGGCTCTGGTGCTGTCACCTGCCAGTACCAGCTTCACACCGGGCCTCTTCGCGGCACTCTGTGCCGCCGCCCGCACCCGACTGCCCGCTGTTTCCGCCGCCTCGACGATCTCTTTCGTCGTCGCTTTGGCCCGGCCCCGGACCTCCCCGACTGGCACAGCCTGCTCCGCTAGGGCGTGCCAATCTTTGAGTTAGACATGGATCAGCTAGGTGCTGCTTTGCATGCTTTGTATTCTGACGCTTCTAGTTTTGCTGGATCTTATTACCCTGTGTACTCTAGTTTAGGTGTTGCACCACTGTGTAGCTTAGCCTCCCCTGCTGCGTCAGGCGTAGGACTGCCTAGGTTGCCTAGTCTAGTCGCTGCACCGGCTCCGTCCCCAGCCTCCGCCACTGCGTCGCTGTCCTTCACTCTCGACTCCGGTGCTTCTGCCTGCTTCTTCCGCGACCGTTCCACGCTCACGCCGCTTGCTGCACCTGCTGTTGTCTCTCTCGCTGACCCCTCTGTGGGTCCTGTCGTCGCGCGCAGTTCTACGTCCCTTCCCTGTCCGGCAGTTCCCTCGGGCTCCCTTACTGGCCTCCACGTTCCCTCGTTCTCCAGGAACCTGGTTGGTGTCGGCTGTCTCCAAGACCTCGGCGTCACCACCACGTTCCCCGGGCACGAGCGGTTCGCTGTCTGTTCTGAGGCTGTCTCACGTTCCCCCCTTGCGACGTTCCCCCGGGACCCGGTGTCCGGTCTGTTTACCCTCGACACCGCCTCCCCCCCGGTTGGTGCGTCCTCCCAGGTCGCTGCAGCTTGCTCGTGTCGGTCCCTCCCTCACCCCTCCCTTCTCTGGCACCACCGCTTAGGTCACCCTGCTCTCCCGCGTCTGCGTCACATGTCCCAGCACGGTCTTGTCTTAGGTCTCCCCGCGTCGCTCCCTGCCCTTCCTCCCTCGACTGCGCCACCGTGCACGCCTTGCGTCGAGGGTCGGCTCTGCCGTGCTCCTCACTCCTCCTCGCTGCGTCCTGCTACTGCCCCCCTTCAGACCCTGCACCTGGACGTTTGGGGCCCTGCTCCCGTCCCCGGACCGCGCGGTGAGCGCTACTTCCTTGTGCTCGTTGACGACTACACGCGCTACACCACGGTGTTTCCCCTGGAGCGGAAGGCCGACGTGCCCGACGTTCTTCTCCCGTGGGTTGTGGCTGCGCGTCTCCACCGCGGTCTCCCCGTGTTGTGTCTCCACTCCGACCGTGGCGGCGAGTTCGCCTCTGGTCGGCTTGGACAGTTCTGTCGTGCGGAGGGCATCACCCAGTCGTACACGTTGCCGGACTCGCCACAGCAGAATGGGGTTGCTGAGCGCCGCATCGGCTTGGTCATGGAGGTCGCCCATACATCCATGATCCATGCCGATGCCCCCCATTTTCTGTGGCCGTTCGCCGTTCGCTACGCTGCTCACCAGCTTAACCTGTGGCCACGCTCCCAGCGGCCGCAGGT